CAGTCGTGAATCTTCCGCTAGAAAACGGATAGATTCCCGCCTCCCAGCCGTACGGACAGCGCAATAGGGGGCGCCCTCTCTTATTGATGAGATGAGTAACTCACCGTTCAACATGAGTAGGCGAGCTCCCCGAGCTCAACCCCCCCCCCCTCCTTACTGGTTCTGTTGACCACATTCAGAATGAATCTTCAGCTAGAATGCGGACAGACGCATTCCGGTCGTAGTGTTGTTCCTACCTCTCACGGCTCACACCGCCCATACTACGGACTCCGCCCACTAACTCCTTGATCCCATCTCACAGTCGCTCTCACCCGTTTTCAGAGCCCCCATCTCACACCTCTCCCCATCCTGATTCTGTCGAGAACCCAACGAGCTATCACTTCCTTCTTCGTTCTTGCCCCCCCTCGGCGCACTAACCTTTTAACTAACCAACTCTTTCTACTAACTTTCTTTAGAGAGTAACTCAATATTCGTATTCGCCGCTCCTCAAAACCTCCGAAGCGGCTCCTCCCTTGCTTGTTTCCGTTCAGAGTCTGGAGAGAAATCTCCACTTTTGTTCGGCCATATCCTGCCCTTCACTCCCCTCCTCGCACTCTATCCTTACACCACCTCCTACTCTACTTAACTAACAACTAAACTAACCTTACCACGTGCTCGCCCGGGGTAAAAACCCCAAGATCGACTCCCTCCTCGCTTGTTTTCACTAAGGAACAGGCGAGGTCCGAGTTTCACCTTCTCCCTTTTTCTTCTCTCCCGCCATCCTCGCACAAGCTTTCTTCCAGTAACTCTAATTTCACTAACTTTCTCTCTAATCGGACCCCATATTTAAGATCGCCATCCCCAAAAACGCCGGATCCGGCTCTCGGCTCGCCCAATTCCATCAAGGATTGAGCGAGGTAGAAGCTTTTTACCCCGCCATAGCCACTCTCCCTTTCCGCCCGTACCTGGTGCCAACCCCCCGCCAGGTTCACTCGCCCTCCTACACTGTCTGCTGCCCGTCACTACTAGCTAGCGCCCCGTCACCGCCCTCGCATGCACTTGGACGCGGCCCCCGTCCCAATGCATTCGTTCTCCCTTCCCTGCTCGTCGCTCGCACGGCCTCGCTCCGCGCCTGCTGCGCATACTGCCTTCACAGCGCCCGCGGCTGCTAGCGCAGTCCAAACCGACCTCTTCGCCCGCGCCCGGCGCCCGCCCGCGTCCGGGTTCATCCGTCACTGTATCACCCCGCCTTTGCTCTCACAGCGCCCGCCACCCACGCTGGGCTATCGTCCGCCTCGACAGTCAGCCGGCCTGTGAGGGACTTCGGAGGGAACCCACTACTATACGATTCGATTAGTCTTTCGCCCCTATACCCAAGTCCGACGAACGATTTGCACCTTAGTATCGCTGCATGACTCCACCGTAGCGCCAAACCGCCCTCTGCCCCACTGCACTCCGACCATCGCCTTTACTTCGGGTCGCTCTCCGCTGTTGCCCGGCCTGCCTGTACCCAGGACAGCCCGTGGTCCGACAGCCCCCGCTTCTCAAAAACTCTGGCTGTCGGACAACCCTCGTTTTTATAGCCTTTACGGGCGCCGAGGCCCCACGCCAATCTACTCTGTATCATTCCTATTTTAACGGATGTCCCGAAGGACTTAGCCGCGGTGGTACCCCCACCTGTGGTTTCTTTTAAGATGTGAACTGCCAGTCGCGGTACCACATCCCGAATGAAAACGGGACCGCAAATATCAATATAAGTAATAAGCAATATAGAAAAAGCAAAGATAAAATAAATCATCATAAATAGAAATCCCTAAGCAGGGTGCGGGGACTACTAAGCCCCACCGTTTTCGTGGACCGGGCCTGTCACCGCGTTTGTCAACAAAAAACAAAGGGGGATAGCCCCGTCGGGCCCTCAACCCCTCGGTTCTCTCCACAGTGCTCCACCGCTGCTGCGCCGACACTCGCTGGCCTCGATCCCCAAACCTTCATAATAGTAGTCCAATACCGTAACCTATAGGGCTAAGCCCAAGCCTGAGACTGGGTTCCGCAGAATACCATATAGGCAGTGCGGCGCGACGCTTTGGGCCAACAAAACGGCTGCGCGGCTCCCATTTGCCCGCGCCGGCTTGCTTATATAAGTACCAATCAAAAGAAAATATCCTTAATTCCTGCTTAATCAAAAATAAATAAATAATAATAATAAGCAAAACAACCGAGGTCCGGATCGGCCTTACGATCAACAACAGAAAAGAATCACGTGCGTCTTAAACCTGCGCGCCCATGCACTCGCTATTGTGGTCAACCACCCAGTCAACGCAATTACAGACGCAACCGCGCTTAGCGCGGTATACTTTAACTTTAAACCAAAACTGTTTTCTGTCACTTGCAAAAAAAACAGGGCGGATACCCTTGTAAGGGTATTCGCGCCGACAGCTTACCGGACCATATTAAGCGACGTCCCCGTCGCTTCGCCAAATCAGAAAGCTATAAATTCATCCGCACTCCAAATGCTGACGAAAGAGAGGTCAATCCGATTAGCCGACAAACACAGGGTAGAGGTTTTCATCAAACCATGCCTCCACAACTATATGCTGACAGGTTTCTAACCCGGGCCTCTTACTGCCCAGAAATTAGGACACTGACAACATAAGTTTCAAAGACCTTCCCAATCGTCCTCTCCCCGGTCCTAGACAACATTCGGCTTCTCGTTGGGTGTCCCTAGTCCTGGCAAAAACTAGGGACGCGGGCCTTAACTGAGACCTTTGAAGGCACTCTCGCCTTCCTTCTCAAAATCTCTCACAATCAAATACACATAAGTATATATGTAAACTTAATATCCACTCCGCTCTTTCTGCAATCTAGTACAGAAAGGCCAGGTCTCCATCTTGGCCCACCATAGCCTGGTTGATCGGACCAGGACTACGGCCCACCGCATTGTGATTTAACGGCAGTACCCTCGTTGGTTACGCAACGATAGAGTTTCTCCTGATAAGCACTCAATCAGGACCTCCCAAAATCTCAACCTTCACTATCCCACGGAGTAATTTCCCTGGGGCGGGTAACTCCCCTTAAACTCTTACCCCGTGGTCCCGCAACCAGGTTGCGCCGGCTAACAGCCATCCAATGGGGTTACGCCCTAGAGGTACTAACTTCTTTTCCGTTAGCTTGACCTTTCTTCAATATGTCTCAGAATTAGCACCAGTGGTTAAACGGGTGCGTCGCAAAACAAAATCACAGGCCCACTGCGCGATACGCAGGGGTCCGAAGGCATTTACCAGCCTTCCCTCAATAGGCATGACATCCTTCGTACGCTTACAAACAAAATCACCGCTAAATCCACCAGGCCGTGACCCCTGACTTGATCAGAGCCAGCAACCACTCACCCTGAGACATCTCTCGCCCTACACTGATTGCGACTTTTTCAAACATTCCAAAGAGTGGCCCCTTTTCGTCAGACTTTATCACTCATCAGGCAACTTACCATGTCATAAATCAGTTTACTCACCTTTGAAGGTGAGTCTCCCAACAACAAAAACATCCTCTTTTGCCAAAAATCCAAAGGGCTCTCATCATAAGCACAACACCCCCTCTTCCAAAAATCACGAGGGGTCTCGCCACAAAACAAAACACCCCCTCTTCCAAAAATCACGAGGGGTCTTATCATAACCCACATTGTCACAAAAGCATCCCCTTCTCTAAAATCCAAGGGGGCTTATCATAAACAAAATCACTGAGAGACCATCTTATAGGTCTTCATCACAACTTAGGCATTCAATAATCAACATGATAGGTATTTTGAGTCTCCTGGGTTCATAAATCTTCAAAAATCCTCACAACCTTTCACAGACGGACTGCACTTCCTCCCCTTATACTCCGCCCTATCAGCTGCCCGTGGGCAAGTCGCACAAGTATACCGAGGAATAGACAGTTTTGCTTACAATCATATTCACAATACCCAAGATACATAAAAGGTTTTTCAAACATTGTCCACACAAACTCATTATACATCAGAGTACAACCACACATGTGAGAGAGACAAGTGATCGTCACATATAAGAATGGTCCCTGAAGGAAACCTCATCATGATATGTACTCAGGGAAATAAAATGTCTCACCCAGAAAAAATTGTCTCGAAATCATAACTCACTCAGCTCAAGCCACACCAAACACACTGACAACTACCCTTGGAATACATGTCAGATCTGTCTCTCAAAAGCCAGGGCGTAAGCCACCCATAATATGTACATGCCTCATCTAGATTACTCTGATCTTCAAGCTCCCAGCTTAGTAGGAACACTAGAGTTCAGATCTAGACTAGTAACAATCCTCATAAAAAGCCCTCTAGGTCTAAGAGGGTATCACACAGAACCTAAACTGATGCCTCATAAAATACTCGCCCACTTATATAGACAAACCGACCCTACCTCTTCAACTCCTCCTGGTTTTGCCTATATAACTGAGTCTTAAGTCCATCTGCGGACTTCTCTACTATCCTACCCTGTTCATCATACATCTTACCCCCTGCCTCTGAGACCTTCCCTGCTGCCTTATCCTCAAGGAACTCGAGACAGTCCAGAGTCAGATGCACGCCCCTCTTGCAGTAGAAGCATAGCTGATCAATCTTCCTCTTGAACTTCTTCTTCCTGGTTGAGGAGGTGGTGATGAAGGAGATCCTGCCAAGGTACTGACAACCCCCTGCTGCTCTGATCGAGGAGCTGCGGTACTAACGACCTCCTGCTGCTCTGATCGAGGAGCTGCGGTACTAACGACCTCCTGCTGCTCTGTCCCATGAACCGGTCCCCCAGACCCAGATGCAGTAGCCCAAGATCCCAGTCTGCTCCTCAAATCCCCTGTCGCTGGGACGTACTCAGGCGTGTCCAACCTCTGAGGTCTCCTCTCGAGTGTCTCTCCTGGCGCTGCCATGGGCTGCTCCTCAATCTCGTCTGGTCCATACTTAGGCGTGCCTATCCTTTGGAGTCTGCCCTCGATGTCACCCTCCTCCTCAATCCCCATCTCTCTCTCAAGAGGCTCCTTTATCCTCTGCTTAGGTGAAAACAAACTCACCTCCTCCTGCATAGTATGCACCGCCTCAAGGAGCACGCCCATGGATCCCTCTGCTGAGCCCTAAGCCGGCTCACTGCTAGATGGTGGCAGCCCCTCCTCTACTGCCAAAGGTACGACCGGGCCTGCCGCCGCCACTGACAGCGTCGCGAGCTCAGTAGGGGCTCTAAACTCGAACGCCTCTCTCTCTGCCTGTCTCTGGGCTCTCGCCTCCTCTGGCTCTAGGATAACTCTCCCCATAGGTGGCTTCTGGCGAGGCTCTGCTGCAGATGGCTGTCCTGGCAATCCCTGTCCTGGCTGCCTCTGCTCTCCCTGCCTGCTGCTCTTTGGCCTGTCCACCCTTCCCTRGGTTTGCTGCCTCAGGCTCTCGATGATAGCTGCCTGGCTGGCCACC